CGGAACCAGAGAACGAGAATGACAAGCTGCCACGAATATTTGTCCACTAAAAACGGTATCAGCTATCACCGGTTTCAAAATATCGGGAATAGATCGAATTTGTCGTGGAATATCAGAAAAGATATCGTATAGTATAACACCAATATTGCAGAGAACAGGAAAAAAATCATCTTTGCTTTGAACGGCATTCAATTTTCCTGTTGGAATTGGTAATTGAGCTGCGTCATTAACGAATCGTATAATGTTTTGGCAGACTTCTTTAAGCTTATCATTGTCATGTCCGGGATTATCAGTTCTAAAATAATTATAAAAGGCTAAAATATGGTGTGCGGAGAAGAAAGTCAAATAATAATGTTCATTTTGCGCACGATCGACCACGTCTTCCCATATTTTTAGATCTTGTGTTAGTTTATCCAGCACATCTTGAAGTTCAGAAACATCGCGCGCCTCAATCCTCATATTCTGATAAAGAAAATGCCCTAACCGAATCAACTTTGAATTCACCTCTATGATTTGTTGTACCAAGTCAACCTGCGTAATAAACGTGTTAATATTTTTAACATCGTTTTCCCCCTTTGATCGATCGACAGAAGCTATGGATTTTCCTATAAAGAGTGCACGACCATAAAGATCGTGTAGATCCGCTAAATTGTAGGAAGCTGTTACGCGAGGTTGATTTTGCGTCGTATCATATGTTAGCATGACCTCACACAGATCTGTCCGTTCCACGTGTTGAAATGTATAGAGACCGATGGTTACGACATTTTTTATTTTTTCTTTTGTGACCTTACCTCTATTCGCTATGTTACGATACATATTTTGTAGAGCCAGATTATGAGTGTTACAGGTGATTATCTTTGTAGTGAGTGAGGGATTTTTTTTCGATACTTCGGATAGGCAATCTAAGAATGAGTCAATCGATGATCGTGATGCTTCTTTACTCAAGGGATCTAACGCCTTGTTAACTTCTATTAAAGCAACCACGGTGTTCTCTCGAAGTAATTTCGTGCTTGATTGATCGTCGACAGCTACAGTATGATTAATAGTAAATGGGACAGGTTCAATTGATATCATGGCGTTGAATATTCTCATCATAGTTTTTCACGTCGATAATGAAATTAAGGTTTACAGTAGTTTACCGTTAATAAGATTTGTTAGATCACGTCCAACCAATTCTTTGAATAGGAAATCAATAAATTCTTTAGCCAACGATAGTGCTTCGATGATGGACCAGCATTCCTCATATGCATCAAATCTCAAATTGTATATTAAGAAAAATTCTGATAGGTCTCCTAAGACCATATCAGCGTTTTCTAAAGTGTTTAACATCTCAACCGCCCAACTTTTCTCTCTATTCTTTACATTAAATTGAGTGAGGACCTCCGAAAGAATTTTGAGATGTCTGATCGAAGACGGAATGTGAGCCAAGTATTCTATTGATTTAATCAAGTCATCATGTTGATACCAAGTTGTATCACCGGCCATCTGGTTTAACTTGTTCGTTGGCAATTCCATTCCAAAAAGGTCGCGCTTCAGAACATTTAACATGTTGCCAGTTTTTATAATCTAGGCAAATTCTTTGATATTTTTTGAGCAAAGAATTCTCAATGGCCTGCGACACCAGAAGCACGCTTTTTTTGAGTCTCTTCATCCGTATTTGCTTCAAATACATTTACAAAAGTTTGTGAATATTTGTATTTGTATGCTTTTCGGCTGACCTGGATTATCTTTTCATGAATTGACCAATGACGTGGCTGACTCATTTCAAGAAATGTCGAATTATTCTTTTTTTCGGTAAGATCATCGAGATAAAATTGAACGTCAACAGCCTTGACACACCACTTGCTGTAGAAGAAATCGAGATTTTGGACGATATTTGAATGACCACGCAAATTCTCTCTGAAATAATCTAGCATTTCGTTAGTAATTACTTTTCCTTCGGGACCGATTACTGCATTAATACAGTTGATTAATCTATCGTTTGAGTATTCAACCAATTCACTAAGTAATCCGGTCTTGATTGATTTGTCCTTCATTGTACAAACGAGCTGAGAAATCTTTTCACGTACTCTTTTAACACACGAATTATCAAGTAATTCTTTAACTTCACCAGTGGCGTTCAACAGGAAGATCCAGAACTTGGCTAATTGGAAATATGATCGTTGCAAGTCATCTCGTCATCTTTTTTATCTTGAATAAGCCTCAGCATATAACAGAGCACAACTTGGCATAGACTATTGAAAAAATTAACATTTGACAATTGCAGTATTAGGAAAGCATGAAACATGATTTAGTAAACTCACCGATTAGGTACACGCAAGGAAGAATCCGGTGAGTTGCAAATTTGAGAAATTATTTTAATTAAAGTATCCTCGTCGGTGGTATTATCCAGTGATGCTTTTAGCTTTGATAGAAGAAATTTTTTGAAGTCCTTGACAATATGTGGCTCCAGTTCATGGATAAATGATGTGGCCAAAAACAGACGATCTAGAGGTAAACTGGAAATTCTTTTTTTGAAAATTTTCAATAATTTACTATATATATCATTCCTTTCTTTAAGAACAAATGAGATGGCAGAAAGTTGCTGACAGAAAATGACCACAAGGTTTTCTCCATTTGATTGATTCGTAACCACTGAAACCATCGTCTCATACCATTTAATGCAAAGAGATGAAATTTTTGTTCCAATGTCTATTATATTGCCATTTCTAGACTCCAGAGCGAACCTCGACCACATTGGAAATGACAATAATAAATCTATATTTCCTGAATTCGAGAGCGACTCCAATACTTGAATAATATCTGACTCCTCCTTGAATAATTGAGAAAATAGTTGAAACATAGGCTCCAAGTATTCTGTTCTCCATGAGGATCCATCATTGTTCAAGAATTAGAAAAACCTGTCACGAAAAATAGTGTATATGTGAATGTTTTTAGATATAGATCTAAAATGTTGTTCCAACTTTTGTGGATCATCAAACTGTATATATTGCTTGATTAAATTGCGCATGCGATCTTTAATCTGTTGGTCCATTCTTTCGTTTCCAATCATTTCAAGTATCAAAAAATTACATGATTCCATATTCAAAAAAGAAATTTCAATTATTTTCTGTGAGTG